CCAGGCCCCGTCCCCTGGCTGTGAATGTCACTGCCCCGCCCCCCTTCACCTCCCGCCGTAGCACTCGGCTGACTTCTGCAGCCGTTTGGGCTCTGCGGTCCCCCGAGTGAGAGGCAGGAGGGGGAGAAGAAGAGAAAGAGAGAGACAGAGAGAGAGGCAGGAGGTGGAGGAGAACTGAGAGAGAGGGAGGGGAGGCAGTAGAAGGATGAGGAGGAGGAGAGAGAGAGAGAGAGAGAGAGAGAAAGAAAGACGGAGCGAGAATCCAGAGGCCCAGGAGAGAAGACCGACGTGGAGGAGAGACCTGAAAATCCCATCTTATGATGGGCTAATTGGCTAGTTTCAAAATAACAGGCTTGGTAGTGTGGATGCTTTGCTTATTATTTTGAAATATGGGGAGTTATGTCCATACTGGAAAAGACTCAAGGGTGCTGACCGGTTAGATGAGAACTTGTGATACCATATAGTGTCTCAAAAGCCAGAACAAGACTGCTAACTGTGCAACCGAGGCATCTCTTCCCAGCTTAAGGAAGCCATCTGGCGTGGGTGAGATTGTGCATGAAATAAGGCCTGAAGCACTACATAACAGACGGATAGTGAGGAATGGTGGATGGAGCTTCCAGCAGTGAGTGTCAAGGCGCAGTAGAAGCAAGGACCTTAGGGCCAGGTGTGCACTAGATCCATGAGTCTACACCGTGGGGACTGGCAGGGAGATGGCCTACACCCAACTCCTGAGGGCAGACCTTGGCAGGCTGTGCAGAGAGAGAGGCCTGCCCGTGGGGAAAGTAACCAAGGCCCAGTTGATTGCCCAGCTGGAAGAGAATGACCCATCCAGGGGCCTGGATCCTGTCCCAGCGGGGAGCAGCCAGACACCCTCTGGGAGCGTCTCAGGCTCTCAGACCGGACAGAGGACTGGAACCTGCCAGAGTGACGTGGTATATATTGTAGGGAACAGACATGGACTGGCAGGGAGAAGGCTTAGGTGAACTCAGAGAAGAGTTTTTCATCTCTCCAGTCTATAATTTTTCCTACACATGCCAGGGTATGTTCCTTTAGCTTCCTTTACATCTCCAGAAATGGATGGATCTCAAAGTTAAACTGTGAAAACAATTAGTCTAACTCAAGAGAAAAGAAAGCTGTTCTAATATTGAGATATATTCTGGAGCACAGTAGCAAAGGAAGAAGTAATTCTAATATGCAGAAGCAAAAAATTGTTTTATTTAGGAGACATTTTGATAAGCAGGTTTAGGGTGAGATGGGTGTAGGAGGGTCATTCTGATGATAACCCAGTGAATAGTTGTGTCTTTTCTATTCAGTTGAAATGTTTTGATAACCTGTTAACTGAGCAAATAGCCATTACAAAGATATTGGGTAGCAATGGGAATTGAACATCCATATCTCCTAATGACTTTAAAAATCTCATCCTGAAACAAAGCAATCATACCAAACCAAACAAAAAATTTTAAGCTAGAGTTCTCTAGGAATTAGGAGGACAGGCTTATTAAAGACTCACAACACTCATTATTGGTGCTAAGTGGAAAAACAAGTAGGCACACATAGGGCTACGTCTAGACTGGCATGATTTTCCGCAAATGCTTTTAACGGAAAAGTTTTTCCTTTAAAAGCATTTGCGGAAAAGAGCGTCTTTTTGCAGAAAAGCGTCCATGCCAATCTAGACGCAGTTTTGCACAAGAAAGCCCCAATTGCCATTTTCACCATCGGGGCTTTTTTGCGCAAAACAGTTTTTAGCTGTGTTTTAGGGTCTCTTTCCATTTATGCAGCAGCAGGTTAGCACTGCAATTTCCTCAGGAGTACTAGGTTTTAGGGCATCTACAGCATGGCTGTAGAGTTTAAAGAGAAGTTAGATAAAGTCATGGAGGTTGGGTCCATTGAGTGGTATTAGCTATGGGGTAGAAATGGTGTCCCTGGCCTCTGTTTGTGGAAGGCTGGAGATGGATGGCACGAGACAAATGGCTTGGTCATTGTCTTCAGTCCATCCCCTCCAGGGTACCTAGTGTTGGCCGCTGTTGGCAGACAGGCTACTGGGCTAGATGGAACTTTGTTCTGGCCCAGTACGGCCATTCTTATGTTCTTATGTTCTAAGCTCAGGGCTCAGGGTCGGGGGTCTCAGTGGACCACCTTGATTTTCATGCAAACCTGCTCCTGGGTGGCCAGGCTGGCAGCTCTCCTGCCCTAGATGGCCACTTTCCTGTGCCTAGGGCGGACATCGTGGATGAGGTCCACGATGTTCGCACTAGACCAGGCGGGCGCCCGCCTCCTGCGGCCCCGGGGCGGCTCCTGGGGGC